ATACAGGGCGGGAGAGGGGGGGGGGAGAGGAAGAGCGCGCGCGGTGGGTGCTGGGAAATGTAGTCCCGCCCTTCCTGTTCCACCGGGCCGGGAGGGCGCCGGACTCCGTTTCCCAGCAGCGCCGAGCGGGGGCTGGGAAATGCGGCGCGCCAGCTTGTGGGACGCAGTTTCCCAGCATGCCATGCGAGGGGAGGGGACCACGTCTCCCAGCATGCAGCGCGAACTCTCCAGGAGGGGCCTGATTCTGCTTATGGGGTCCCCTGCTCCCCTCTGCACCCCTTGCTCTGAGCACCCCCGCTCTGCACGCAGCTGTGGGGTTGCACCTTAGAGACCGACCCAGTAACTCCACCGTGTTGGTGTGCCCCGTGACGCACGACATCAGAGACTTGACCCGGTCAGACCGGGGGGTTATTCCAGTGGGATTTTAAAAATGTAACAGCTGTGCGTGTTTGCCTTCCTGATGTCAAGTCTGTGTGCCCTAATTCATCACTGACATACTCGAGCACGTGGGCACGGTGGCATTGTGTCGCGGGCACGGTGGTGTTGCGTGTCGCGGGCACGGTGGCGTTATGTCGCAGGCACGGTGGCGTCGTGTGTCGCGGGCACGGTGGCGTTATGTCGCGGGCACGGTGGCGTTGTGTGTCGCGGGCACGGTGGCGTTCTGGAAACCTCCTGGACTAGATGCAGAGTTGGAAACCCCGGATGGGAGACCACCCGGGAGCCGGGCAGCCCCCAGGTTTTCAGGACCCGCTGTGTAAAGCCGGGTTTTTATTGTAACGTTTCAGAGGACTATCAGCGCTGCCGTTTAACTGCCCGCTAGTCCAGTCTCCGGTGTCGCACAGCAGCAGAGAGCGGAGACTGAACAGGGTCTGACCAGGGTTTTTCTCCCCCTGCTCCTCTCTCGCTTGCAGCCTCCAGTGTTGAAGGTCTATAGGAAGCTCTGATTCAGAGGCCGTGCCCCTCACCTCTGCGCTCAATAGCTCAATGCCCCTTTCCTCCAAGCGCGTCCCATCCCTTTGCGAATCTGGCTGGACCGTCAGCGCCCACCGCGTCTGGTGGCAACGGGCGCCACGGTTTAATGACACGCGGGCTGAAAAAGAGCTGCCTCGTGTTCATTTTAAACTGCCTGCCTGCTAGTTTCCTTCTGTGACCCCTCGTTCTTGTCTTGTATCTTAACAGGAAAGAGAGCGCAGTCTGGAAATACACTATAAACCTTTCCATACTCTTAACCAATGAGCAAAAAAAAAAATAGAGGTGGTGAAGTTGTCCATCCCTGTATATCTCTCAGCATGAGTCTAGAAGTCAAGTTTTGCCATTGCTTGGAGAAACTCCTTTCTCCATCTCTGTGCAGCAAGTCGAAAACTTCCCCTGCACTGCTAGTGTTCAGCTCTGTCTGGCCGATAGCTTTAACGGCTATTTGTCTCTTGTCTGTCTCTCCTCTCTTAGCGTGGAGATAGGTCAAGGAGACTGGGCAAGATGGATGCACGGTCTGACCCAGTAAATGACAGTTCTTAATGCCATTGCGGAAGATGATCATAGCCTCTCCTGCCTGGAGAAGCTAGAGAGAGAGCAATCACCCCTAACTCCCATGCTTCGTGGAGAGTCACAGCTCTGCCTGCAAAACTGCTGATGCCAAGGGCTTTATTGACCTGAAATCTGGCCTGGCCTTCCTGAACTGAAACGCTGAATGGATAGATACCCATGCGTTCGCGCTGTGTGACTGCTGCACGGTGGGAGGGAACTGGGGGGTCGTACCCTGGAGGGTGTGGGAGACTAAACAAAGCATCTTTCACCTTCCAGGTGCCAGTTCGAATCCAGTTGAGGTGAACTGGGGTCATTCGTGTCTGCTAGGACATTCGTGGTTTATGCAAAAATGAGCTGCTGGGACGTAGCTACAATGGATGAGACTGTTCAGAGCCCAGCAGCCATCATTTTCATCGGCCCATTGGGTGATCTCCGCAGACGGATCAAGAGCTGAGGGGCAGGAGGGAGCCTGGCTTCACCTCCTGCCCCTAGAGGTATCTCCTGCAGAGTATAGGAGAGTCCCCTGCTGCGCTGGAGACAACTCCGAGGCTGCGGATCCAGCCCTCCTCCTCCTCCGTGTAAATGCGCAAGAGGCTACAAGAACTCGCTCAAACTTAGCGAGCGCAAAGCAATGAAATGACTTCAGGATGCTCCATGCTGAACCCCCTCCCTGCTCAGAGGGACGGCACGGTTAAGAAAGCCAACATTGACGCCTTAAATCAAATTTCTATCCATCCTCGCACCTTGTGCGGAGATTGGCACAAGGGTGACTGTTGACTCGTACATTTTATTCGTGGCTCTCCCTCCTCCTTCCCCAAGAAATAAAATGAGCCTGTTTATTTCTATCCTTCTTTTATTTATTTAGGATTTTTGTTCCCTGGAATTACCTGGGATTATCCTGCTAATGCAAGTTGCCTTCACAGAGAACATCGTTTTAGTTGCTAAGAAACTGCTTTTGCATAACAGGCAGCGTGGGCCAGATTTTCCCCACAGCAGCTGTTAAAATCAGTCGGAGCAGCAGGTGTAAAGCACCGCTGAGATTCGGGACCAAGGTGTCTCCTTCCCATCAGAGGGAGCGACAGTGCGCGTGTGATTTGTGCATGGCCCAGGCTCAAGTTTTTATTGGTTTCATAGGCAAAAGGGACCAGTGCTTGGATGTTTGTGTGTGAACACGTGTATGTCTGAGCCCCCTTCATGTATCCATGAGTGTGCAAGAGCAGTTATTTTGTGTGTGAGCATGTGTGGAGAAGCAGGTTGCATACGTGTGTTCGTATTTGTGCACGTGTATTCCCGAGTGTCCTGGGTACACACAAATAAAAATGTATGGGTGTATGTGTCAGTGGTCCATGAGTCCACATGTGACGTAGGGCTCATTCTGTCTCCATGTGCATCTGTGCATGCCAGTGTGTACCTGGATGGCTCTTGTGTGAGCATCTGTGAGCTGCTGTGTGAGACCAGGGTGAGCATGTGGGGAGGGCCTGTGTGAACACCAGTGGAAGCGCGTGTGTGCACGCTGTGGGAGCATCTGTCTGCCCATATGCGGGAGTGTCCACGTGTGAGATCCAGGGTGCTGCAGGAGTTGCCGTTTGAAGGCACAGACACGGGGGGAAGTACTGACATTTCCACTCCTTTTTGTTGCCATGGTGATCAGATGCACTGACACTTTTATTTGAAGTGTCCATTAACTACAGCTCCATAATCATTTCCCTTCAATGAGACGCGCGCAGAATACACAAGAGCGCCAAGCAGGCTCCCTACAGCCCCTGCTGCCTGCCCACACCGGAGCTTTGCTCCAGCTGCTGGATGGTCCATCAAGAGCCTCCAGCATCTCCCATTCAGCATCCCAAAGGTGGAAAAGCACCAGACAGAAACGTCCATGCCATGAACAGAGAAAGGGCTTAGGGCCGCTGATGAGAATGAACCTAGAAACAACCCAGGGCTGACGCCACGAGCATGCCAGCTTCTCCCCAGCCAAATTTTGCCATGGCCTCACTCTCCCCTGCTCTCAGAGACCCATCCCTCTGAGATCCTAGCTGGAAATGGACTGATCGCTGCAAAGCCCAGAAATAAAAGTCACTACCAGGGTGTGGGAGGGGTTCCCCATCTGTATCTCCTCTGTCGGGCTCACAAAGGAAACTTCTGCCCTCTGGAGAAGCTTCTCAGTGCTGGAGACCAGCCGTGAGAGGCCAGGTCTAACCTGTCTGTCTCTTCCTCCGCTCAGCTCTTTGCTTTCCTCTTTGTGGTTTCAGAGCACTGTGCAGGGGATTTCTTGCATGAGAGAGGGTCAAAGAGAGTCTCCTGGGTGGGAGGAGAGGGTTTTTTTGCAAGTGGTTTCCATGCAGGGGCACAATGGCTCAGATTTGGACAGATCCCTGGAGCCAAGCTCTGCGCCTTCCAGCTCCAGGGGGAAGGAGCATTCTTCTGATCCCTCCAGCTACTGGACTTGCAGCAGCCATGGGCCAAACGGGCTTCTGGTGTAAGCAGGTGCAACACCACTCACTTGCTCCGATGCTTGGATCCATGGTCTGATCCAGGCAATGACAGTTCTTACTGTCATAATGTCCAGCTGGGTTTCCTTGGGGTGTAGGCAGGACTGTCGTTGGC